ATGGCACAAGTGATATATAATGGATATGTTCATCAAATGTCTTCTTTTTTTTTAAACTGCAGGTTAATTCAAGAAAAGGAAATTGATCTTGTGATTAATTTACCTAATCACAATACCAAATATGTTCGTGATAACTACCTCATTAGACGGTCAGCTATTGACGCTGGAGTTCCATTGTTAACTAACTTTGAGGTATGTTTAACGCTTTTATGCCTGTCTCATCAAACATAACTGGATAATTACATCCTGTAAATAGTTTCACGATGACTAACTTTCAACACAGTCTGAAACATTTTTTCTCAATTTTCTATATCTGAAAACTCATAAATTATGAAGAAACAGTGTTGAAAGTGTGTAAAATTTACCACTTTCACCTTTCTCTTGTCGTATTACTGACTTTGAATTCATCATTAGTCATATTTTAAATATTAATAATGATTAATTAATAAATGCATTAATTATTCACTGATTTTAATTTTACTATTTTCACTGATAAATAAAATCTGCTAAATTAAATCTACGTAAACATGTAAAATAACAATAAAACTGTATAAATAATAAAATTGTTTCCTTGACAAATACATGAAATTAAAACACAGTGAATATGCTCAAAACATCGAAATAGTGAAATTAAATGGTTATTAAATAGTATTTCTTATATTACACTTACTTTTTTTAATATGAATTGATAAAAAAAAATCAGAGATATCTAAGTAGCAAAAAGGTACTAGTACTTATTGTTAAATGAAAAGTACATAATTTTTGCTTTTACATGCTCCAATTAAAATGACTAAGAAAATTCAACATCTTGTCTTACAGCTTGTGAAACTATTCGCTGAAGCCCTCGAGAAGATGAGTAACCGTGATGCCACCAGTCTTTTCCATTACGCCAAGCCAAAGAGAGCTGCTAAGGTGGTTCACTGAAATTTTACACGAGAAGATTTTCAATATCAATGAAAACATTCTCAGAAGAAAATTCTGGAAATATTTTTAACTAGAATAGTTTGAATTATATATAATATTTTCAATCTAACCAATTAATAATTTTTTTTTCCCAATGGTTGACTAATTTTTGGCGTTGACACATTTTCAGAACACAGGCCCAGTTTTGATTATTTTTTTTTTCTCTTAACAATAACTGCACCTGTTTCACGTATTTTATTCCATCCTACTATTATTCTTATTACATTGTACTATTTGTCTTGATAGATGAAATATTTAGAATCTATTTCCACCAAAGTGAATATCCCTTATTGTTAAAATTTTAAATCACAAATGTTAATTATATTATCTTTTCACAAAATGGTTTTCTGCAAGTGCTATTCTAAAATTGTTTAGGTCATTATATTGACTATCAATCATGAATAAGATGAAGGTATCTTGGATACCGTCGATAAGGTGGTTGTTTCACTCTTGTATTTTGATGGCACCGAATAAGACGGTCATCTCAGTTGTATCTTTGTCTGCACTATCCGGCAATGTTCAAAGCAGCATTATTTATTTACACTTTGGTAGAACAAATGTTTATAAAACAAATGTCCCTCCAAATTTTGATGGCAAGATTTCTAAAATTGTGATTTTCTAAATTACCATATTCGCTCTTTTAGTAACACATGCACTTAGATGAGCAACAGAGATGTGTCTATGATTAGAAGAAGACATTGTAATGATTCAGTATACATGTATTTATTGGTTTACGTTTGCTCATTAAGAAGTTGTGCTTCTAATAGAGCAAATATGGTAGTCACTTGTTACTGAAGTCTATGTTAAAGCGAGAGGGTCGTCACCTGCACACGCACGGGAATTGAGCCCCAAGCGACGGTAACAACACACGCTAAGAATGCAAAGGCTCATGGGTGGACACTTGTTTGTAAACAATGACACGCTATGGCCACATGACGCCTGCGTAGGTGACGACTCCCTCGCTTCAACAAAAAAAGAAGTAAACAAAGACCAGAAGTTCATCATCTTGGGTCAAACCACTTTTTGTTGCAGGAGGGGTGGGAAGGGGAGGGGCATAAAAAATATTTATTCAAGCTCCTTTCTCTCTATAATCTAAATTTTAATCGATGGAATTTTCATCCCTTTATTTACCTGTTACTGGTAATGCAGTGTTTGCTTATACGTCGTCATAGTAACAGTCAGTACCTTGCAGTATTATAGCTAATAAATTAATGCGCAATAATCACGTTATGCAATATTACATTATTTTTAATACAAA